AAAGCTCGGGGCGCTTTTGCTAACCTTCGCCACTTATGGCGCCGGCGCGAAATCACTCTTGCACTGCAGCGATACGTTCGACCCTACGGTACGGTTGTGTAACCTGGCCTCTTAGAGCAACGGACATAAAGAGGCTAGTTACGTGCGACCACCGGTGTATTCGCAATTTAGCTCACATCTGGTGGGAACACCGCGTGCGCCACAAACGTGTTCGGCACCTTGTTTACGGCAAAGGAAAAGGAAATGAACCGCTCAGTCCATCACCATAAATACTTTAACCGGTCGTCTACCAAGTTTTCGGAAATCATGACTTCCCGATCGGTTCCAAATATGTTCCAAGATATTTAGGACCGCTCAGTACGGTTATTTCACGCACCAGGCTCCGATGGCTCGGCCACGTGTTACGCATGCCAGCCCGCCGACTCCTGCGATGTGCGTTGTTTGCGCGTCGGGGGCGTGGATGAAAGAAGAGGAGAGGTGGCCATGCGATGACTTGGTAGAGAGGAGTGAAGGCCCTCACTTCGGAGCTGGTCCCGGTTGGAGGGTCTCGGCTCCCTGATTGGGGTCCGAAGGACGATGAACACGTTTGGCTGGATACACTTGTTGATATGGTTAGGAGCCGACCTCAGTGGCGTTCGTGCTGTGTTTCGTTGTCCCACCCCATCCCTCTTAGCCTCCCGTTCAACCACGATATCGTTACTTAACATTTTATAATTTTGCATAGGAAATTACTTTTCTTGCTGCATAGTAGCCGGCAGATAGCTTACCGGAACGATGCCCATCCGTTACCGGTAGCTCAGCTGGCTTGCACCTGTAGCATTTTATTTCCTTCTTTTCTTTTAGGTATTGCGGCACAGTAGCTTAGATGTATCCCACCTCTAGCTAAAGTGTAGAGTATGTATGTATGTCACTCCCAAGTGAGCGCAGTGGGTAAGGCTCGGCCTAGAACATCGCATGGCCTTCAGAACGAGTATGTTTAAGTATTAATCTGTCCTGAGTGACGAGATCGTACTGAAAGTGGAAGGACGGAGTCAACTCCTTGGGCAGCTGCTCCTTATCTTCAGATCAAATTTAGTAGTATGTACAGTTCGTCTTTTCGCATGCAATGTAGCAGTTGCTGGAAACGCTCTCTTGTAACAGCAACCTGCTTGTGAAATGCGCAAAACCTGTGTGTTCCTGCGTTCCAAACGGGTCCGGAAGATACGCTCTTGACAGCGTACCGGCAACGTGCTCCTTTCATTCTAGCTAACAGAGAATTTCCAGGTTATACTTCTGGAAACGAATTAGCATCCGCTGCGTGACATGACGTAGAGTGGTTCAATAGGTATGAATACCAGCAGCTTGTGGTCTGAAAAAGCGATAACTCAGTGGACGAATGTTTAGCCAATGAAACGCTTTAATGCATAAACTAGCGCAAGCATTTTTTGAATCAGGATATAACGACACTCAGCATCTGTTAGCCCTGCAATACGACAACGGCACAGTCACTAACCACTAATGTAAGATCTCTTTCAGTGGTGTCTTTAGAATATCTGTGCACTCAGAGCGACTGAGCATCGGATCACTAGCCGTGTTCGGTCTTGTGAGATTCTTGTAAACACTTATGGGGTCAAAGCAAGTAGGATTCCTTATGGCGGCGAGGGAAGATAGGGGGAGTGCGTTAGGCCATGAAGAATTGAACTCAACATTCAGTTTGTCTACATCTTAGGTGATAAGTGTTCTGCAGAAAGGATTTCCAGAGAGTTGTCTTAGTCTTAGGAGTCTCCACAGATCACGGTAACTGGTTGCCTAAAACGGTCTAAAAGTATAGACTGCGTAAGCTTTTTTGTTTAGCTTGTAAAGCCACAGACTGCCCAGCAGTTGGCTTTTGTTTATAAATCAGTGCTTTTCTCTTTCAAAGTTGCTTGAGCAACGGAGAATGAAAATCTGTCACATGGCAAATACCTTGTCTTAATGGGGCAACACAGCTCAAAATATACCTTTATAGAGTCTGTGACGTGCTCGCATTGAGCTGACGAGTCTCCATTCGTAAAAAATGAAAAATCAGTTAAACAAATTGTTGTGATAAGCCTTCGATGCTCTCTGTTGAGCAACTCCATTGTTTAACAGCTCAGGACGGTCTTCTTGTCACCACAACATAGTTTGCCTTACTGTATAACGTGGAACATATCCATACTACGCAATGGCCGGAATTAGAAAGAGGAGCACGCCTTGTGCAGAAAACAGACTGAGTTTGTTAGTAGAAAATAAATGTAGATGCGCCTCGAGTCCGATGGGGAATTTCACCAATTTGGCTAATCTCATCGTGTTAATGAAAGCTTTGTCGCTCCCACTGAGGTCGCCAGAGAGAACACATATGGAACATACTAACTTTGGTTGCAACTCTAAGGTAAGGTGATCTGCGAAATTTCGTAGCTTGAACATCGTTGTCAGGAGCTACATACACGTTTACAATTACGACAGTTACGAAACCGCTCATAAGCTTTGGTTTGCATTCATTAGGCGGCAGCTTATTGATGTTGCTGAGTACTCCGAGTGTTGACATCTCCTCCGCGAATCTGGAGCTAGTTTAGGCGGTCGGATCCGGTGCGGCGGTAGCCATTGAGTTTAAAAACTTCATCATTGGTGTCAGAATGCAATCAACTTTCCTGTAATACCACTATATCTGCACTCATAATTTCTCTTCGCTGTAAAATGTTCGCGAGATCAGCAATTAGCCCGGGAAGTGATCGTATAGTATTGGACAGGAGCAGCGGAATATGCGCCTTATATACGCGACAGCGCTTGAGTCCTACTTGCAAGCCAGCAAAGATGTATTTCGCTTTGGCTAAATTTTTATTGACAATTCCTTTAAAAGTATTTCTGGTATTGTGGCCGTACTCAACTAGAGATGATTTTCGCACATCAGCGCGATGATAAATCTAATCATCACCAGAGTATGATAAAAGTGGTTTAAGTAAACAGGCGGTAAAATAATTTCCGTAAACACGAAGAATTCACAGTGAACAATGTGGAATAATATTCCGATGTTAACAGTAGCGGCCGAATTTGAAGGCCCGCAGGTTACTGTAGTATTCTAGATAGTAGTTAGTGTTCTAGGTCAGCATTTTAACATTGGCTTCCGAATCTAGCTCAAAATGGACCGGCTGTTTTTGAATGAGCCGCGTTGCAAAACATGTATACATGCAGTGTGCGAAGCCTGTCGCAAGAATCGCTTATGGCAGATGGGTAGCAACATGCAAAATGGTTCTTAGAGTACATCATACTGGTTTCGTCCTTCATTGGACAATTCCACCGTTTTAGATGCACACCATTCCAACAATGGAAACTAAATCCTTGTCCCTCCGATGTCTGCGACAAATGTACTTCGCGTCAAGATACTGCACAGACTTCCGCTGTTATCGCCATTCTGAGCTGTGGAAACTGTTGGACAGTCCTTGCCCCGATTATGCAGATATCGACGCACGGCTCCTGAGCCAGGTTTTTTTTCTGCCGCAAAAGGCGCTACATCAGTTCATCATATCTTAGGTTGACCACACGCAAAAGAATCCCGCAAAAATTGTGAGTCCGCGCCAGAAATGCAGCTCCGTAATGTAGGCCTCGAACAATCCCCCAGTCAAATTATTGCGACCAAATAAAAAATAACTGGTACGTTTCATTTGTCTGATGCTCGTAGAGCTCACTGACTCATACAGTTCGACTTCCCGTTCGCTATCACTGAGCTTCAACGTTTCAAATGCCCGCCTAGGCTTCATCAACAATGGTGTGACTAAACACGGCCATTTGGTAAGCTATTGTAGGAGCATCCAATTGGGTCGGCATCATGAAGTCTAGTCACTTCGCCTTCCACATTCCCCAGTTTAAAGGCGGTATGCTTCCTGTCATCTGTAGCGACAATGGCAATGGGATCGCCGGTTGTATACCAAAAGAATGCTACCATATCAAAGTAGCCATCCGAGAACGAAGACAAAGACTGAGCAACAATACAAAAACGGTCGTCAAGAAACGAAGGGTCACTTTATACTGTAGATAAATAACTGTAGATAACTGTGGATAAATAACTGTAGATAAATAACTTAATGAAGCGCACTTTCAATGGCTGATTCTTACTAACCATCTGTTTAAGTTTATTGGTTCGCGCTCATCGTTTGTTGGCAGCCGTTTGGACCACTTCGATCTTAGCTGGAACAAAGTTGCGTTTTGTTCGCAACACCTCAACTCCAACCCGGATTGTTGTTCATCCGGTCCTTCCGAATGTGATTAACTCGCATCTGTGACGCTGATTAGCTTTTCAGTTACCGGCTGTGTCTGTTCCGCGCGTTCGGTAAAGCAGCTACGATAACACCATACGGCGTGCGCCCTGGATCAGTGTCGCGTGCAGACAACCCGCTTGCTTTTATTAAGGAACAAAAGCGTTCCTGACTAGCAACACTACAACCCAATTCCTCACTGATCACCCCCGACCCGTGTAAGCGTAGTCAATTTGTGCTTGCGGCGCTGATTGGCTTTCTAGTGCCCTAGCCGCGCGTCTGTTTCGCTCGTGTAGCCTATCAGTTGCCATCATAAAGAGCTCAGTGGTAAAGAATTATGGAGAAAGTAGTTATGCACTGACCCTAAGAATTGGTGTGAGGTCATTTCTCAGTTCTCGGAAAAAAATCTGCGCGCCATCGGCATCCCATTGACGGGAAAGCATCCAGTAGAAAGTTATTGCAAAGCTACACAAGGTTTCCACGCATTCAATGTCAGATGTCGCAAGAGTATACTTGTGCTTCCGAATGCTGTCGGAGTTAAAGTAAAACTTCAGTAGATAAGACGCTTTCAAGCCCTGTTTAAAAGGACGAGACGAACGTGATCTGGCCAAGAACTGGTAACCTGGTAGTACAAACGAATACAGATGAAGGGAAACGACATTAGGGGCATAAATCTAGCCTGAGCGACGTCCACTTCCAAAGCTCACAGGTACACGGTGAAGCTACAAAAAATGCAAAAAAGTAACTTACGGATCGGTGCTGGACAAAAGCGATTAGGATCCTGTTGTATCAGACCTTGCATTAACTGGTGCCGTCCGACGTGCGCTGGGCCAACAAACACTAAAGGTCGGCGACGTAGTGGTTGTGGAAGGTATTGAGCCACGGGCTCATAAGTCCATAAGCTGGGGTGTCTGAGAAAGCCACGCGCAACCTCTTCGTCCAACCATGCGACCGGATCATCGGAGTTTGTGAGAGCTGTATCAGGCACTGCAGATGTAAAGAAAGGAAAAGTAAACGTTGGTGGTGAGTAACGCATCACCCAAGAGGAGGGTAAAAGGTGAAGATATCACACAAAATAGTAAAAGAACTGGTCAGTACTGCAATACACCAGTCAAGACCTCAACAATGCATTCCAGCCAAATAACCAGTTCTTTCCCATCAGAATGTGTTCCTATGAAGTATGCGAGTAACGTGCGTATGTCGTATCTGAAGGTGAAAAGTTTCTTCAGAATCATTGGTGAATTAGCAGTCTTCTATAAAAAAGAGTAGAGTTTACTAAAGTCGCCACTTGTTCTTGTTTCTAGTCAATTTGGTCCCAGGAAAGATCACATATTGTTCTTGTATGGAGTGTCATGAGGTAGGAATTGAGATTTTTCTGGGGAGAATCAGATCAGTTTAATAAGCATGATCTGGGCACAGAGGTGCAGTGGATCAAGTTGCAAGGACTCACGTAGCCAAGATAACAATAAATAACAACTGTAAGACAATAAGGTTGAACGTAAATGGAATACAAAGAAAATGGAATCGGGACAGAAGTACGCAAAAGTACTCAAGATGGAAAATTGATGGCTAGACACGAGAAACAGAATGCAGAAACGCCACGGACTGCGCCAGGTCTGATGGTCACCAATCATTGATGTGGACCATCTTGCGGAACCCGTCCATGAAAACGGCACGCCCCAGCCTGTCTAAGCTGTTCAGTCAATTATCTTCCTGCCTCTATGCCACGTCATGGAGTGGACACCTCGCGGCGTCGCCAAACTTGGTGCAACGGCGGGTTGTTGAAAACAGTCCCTTGCACGTTGATAATCACGACGGGAGTTTAAACGATGAACATAATAATCGGCGCGATCCCCACTTTGGAGGTGTCAATTGCATCTGCAGAGGACGAAGTGGCGTTGCACGAGCATAAGCCGCCACCATCCATCTGGTCGTTGAAGAAGATGAAGCGTGAGACAGTTAAACAACTCAGGTGTATTAAAATCGAAACTAAGTCACTTATTGCCAAAACTGGAGGTGTTGTGCTTTACTAGTCAAGCATGAATTTTTTACGGTCCTAAATTCGTTTGTGAGGGTCGTTGTGCTCCTCTGTGGTGTGACCTGGCGTCATGGCTCCGTAGAAGCCAAACACCATATTGTTGACGATAGCTGTGCACAGCACGGTTTTCGTCGAATAGCAAAGCGCGTCCTATAAAGCTGAAATACACAAGTAAGTACCAAGCAGGTATAGTGGGTACATCTCGTCAGATCAATTGAACAGAATAAACAAGTTTCCTTGGTTCGTGTGTGTGATTGATGCCCCAATTACTGTTTGGTCAGGAAAACTTGTCTTGCTCATTCGAAGTTGAATCGATCACTGAAGGCATCGAGCGAAGCCACTGACAGCTGAACAGTGTTAGTGCGCTCCGCTCTCCTAGTTAAATCCCAATGATTCACCCTGCATTTCGTTCGAGGGGTTTAAGGACATTCGCTAGCAACCAGTAACGGTATTATGTTTTCTACCTATGCAAACCGAGCTACTTGTTATAAATGCGTTTGCCGCTGATCTATCCCTGGTGTTAGATTGATGACCACACAGTGGGGTGAATTTCACAACGACGATATCGCGTCTATGCCATCTTATCTTTACACGATAGTTGAATATCTGTGACTGTATGGCATAGACAATGTGTTAGCGTACTGACGGTAAATGTTTGCTTAGACGTTTCACACTATTCTCTGGTGGATTATGTACATATGTGTAAATTGTTATTATCCTGTTGCTGTGTGTGATTATTGCCCGTGAAGTTGTGAGCATCAGCCTCCGTCATTCGTAGATAGGAAGTAAAACTCAACACGTGACCAGATACGCAGGATGCCCGAAAATGGTGTAACTGCAAGAACCAAAGATGCGAACTGAGCTATTTGCTGGGGCAAAGATCATCAACCATACGTTTCAGCTTGAATCATCAACCGTCCCACTATACTACGAACTCTATCCTGGAGGCTGCGTGATACGCGTTTCTTCTGCATCTATTCCTTAGTGCACATATATGTGAGGTTCCACAATCGTTCTATTCCGTTGGGGCGTTGGTATGGCCCGCAATTGGCCCGTTACCGTCTGATTTTCCTGGCACATCAATACCACTGAAGAGACGCAATAGCATCTGCATTTGGCCTCGCACATAACCTGTCCATGGTGGTCTACTAGCGAGAACGAATCAACGATGCGATAAGGTCGTGGGCAGACAATGAAGGTACTCGATTCGAATGAGTGAAAAGATAAGTGAAATTTGAACTGATTGAAAAGAAGGAGAACAATCCGAACAGACACAAGCGACGAGTGATCGATATCGCAATTAGGCACCTAGGGCTATGAATAACACAATGAGGCAGCGCTTGTGGTATCAAAATCAACACAGTCAATTCGCAAACAAGGTGCTGTGACAAGAGGGCAACATAGAGGCTAAATTCCAAAAATGAACGAAAAATCACCCATCAAATGATGGATAGCTGCGTAAAGCAGAGGATTAAAGTGTTCGCCCCAAAGAAACACAAGGAGTGACAGCGCAACAACGCGTATGTGTGTCATCTTTTGATTACTGCTAAGTATATCCGAATGAAATCAGAAAAGGGGATGGACAGAATGGGGCTTAGTTAGAGGAAAATAAGTGTCTTAGTGGCTCAACGTGAGTAACGAAACAAGTGTGGGCCTCGATTAACATTCTAGTATCTAAACAAACACAACCTCATTTTATGATTCGCAACAATTACAACCAATGACAAATTGGCGCATTCCATCCAGTCGCTCCTCTAGTAGCATCCACTTGAGTTCTGTTCTTGAGATTGCGGATCAATTACCACTTGGTGTCAGCGATTAACGACTATCAAGACAAGCAAGCAAGAGGTCGGCCTGGGGTCTTTGCTGCTCGCTGGCCAGCTACCACCACAATAAGTCGGTTGGCACAAAAAAGCAGGTAAGAGACAGGAAATAAAGTGACGCCGATTGGGAGAATTACGACAAGTTTTAATGCTGCGGCGTTTAAGATTGGAACTCAGGTGAGCGACATTTTAATCCCTGAATCAAGATAATCAATTCTTCACTAATCCATAAGAAAGAAAGTCATCAGCAGTAAGCCGGCCCACGGTGCCGACGCTTCGCTGACATGCGACTACCACCTGTCGCGTGTGGCCAAAGTATACCGTGAGGACGCCCGCCTCTATGCGGATTCGAACCAGGTGAAATAAAAATCTCAAGCCAAGCGTGCAATCCTTTCAGCCGCCGGCAGACCGACTAATCCATAGGTCACCACTCAACAAGCCCGGTTTCATAGTACGATATGGAAATGGACCGTTTGAAATCGCGCGACCTTAAAATGTTCCCTACAATAAAACTCCAACGTCTATCCTAAAGCAGGGAATCAGCAGCTTCAGGTACGAATAGGTCAGTAAGTGGACTGTTTATTTGGTAATGGAAACCCTTCGTTGGATGAAGCGAACTGCGTTCACCTAGAATCGTACTCAATCACTGACTAGACAATTACGCGATTCGGATTGTTTACCCCCCTCGTCGGCCCCCCGTGAAACCTAGCCGCTGCTAAATGAGCGACGGACCCACGTAAGAAGGATGTGACCACGCGACCGTACCACGTGCCGAAGAGGGATAGATAGAGGAAAGAAAGGCAAGGCACGCGCCCGAGCGCTTTTACTGATAAAGCAAAAAAGCGACACAGGTCTGGACATAGCGGGTATGAGTGTTGTCGAGGCGACGTTGCTCACGAAAACCTGCCGCGTTGTGGTTGAAAAGTCGAGGGGTCACATTACAAGTGCCGCGCGGTGTGGCCCTCTGGTTGTCCTCGCGAGTATGTGCTGCGGATGCGTATTTTGACGAAATCACTTGGCGTTCCTGTAACAGTACCACAGCGCAAAAAATTGTTCCATGTTACGATGAAATATCATAGGAATGGGATGACGCTCGGTTAATGGATGCTGGTGGAAACCTAGGAGTTGAATTGATTGCATGGTAAATGCAAACTTACCAGGAGCCAGGGAAGGGAAATAGTCTTTTTCATAGTTTGGCTTCTTCTTGCCGCGGAAAGTATCCACACAAGGCGATGATTTGCTGCCTGACCTGTGTACGTGACGACGACGTCTGCGATAAGAACGTACGTCGTAGCCATGCTGACCCCACACGGGCCCAGCGGCTGAAAAGAAGGTGAAAGTGAGATAGAATGCAAGCAGTTGGCATGTACCAAAAATTAAAAAAGCGAAGGAATGCGGGATAAAACAGAGTCAAACGACTTCTAAGATACCTAGGTGGGCACAACCACACATGCAAGTTAAGAGTGCGTGAAAGTGATAACAAATGGTACGCGCAGCCCTGCCAGCGAAAAACGAACAACTCACCTGACCACTCTTCGATTGCGCCTTCTGATGGCTGAATCGTCAGTTTGCTTTGCCCTGACATACGACCCGCATAAATCGAACTAACTAAAGCGCTGTTAATTAGATATGAGGGAGGCTCATGGCCTGGACTCGTAGAATCCACGGGGTCGCGTTCATTTGTGTCTTCGCTTTCACGGGAAACATTGTGAGTTTCGTTCACATGAGCTCTGGTATTTTGGGGACTCTTCGATTTCAAAAAAGGCAACTTCATGCCAAGGAAACGTTTATCCTTGGTAACTACATTACAGTTTTCCTTGTATTCTCGATGATCACCTTCTGGTTCTATGTCAGAGACGTCTTCATCTAACTCTACATCCTCTGCCCCGCTGTTGAGCCATGACTGTAACCGAAGAATCGCCCGCTGACGCTGATAGATTGGACTGGGTATGAGGCCGGCCAAGGTGCCCACCGAGCCTGCAAGGCCTACGTTTTCATCACTCCTGTGTGAGGATAGGAGCGGGATTTGATGTGTAAGTTCAAACGACACCATGAGCAGTTCGCAGCATAAGAGAAATTAAGAAGTAGAGTGAAACGGGAAAAGCTTGGTGACGGAAAACAGTGGAGAGGAAGTGGCCAAAACACTGACTGCGACAAGTTGACAAAACATGGTCAAGAATATCATGTAAAAGGTGGTGAATTTATCATTGTGAACAAACTAGGAATTCAAGTACAAAGGAGATTCATGAAGCAAATGGTTTCATTTTTAGCATGGATATCCCCGTTGTGGTTGTAATAGAAGACGATTTCCATAACACAACTATGAAAGTAAGGGGTAAAAGGAAACATGCACAGTTCTGATTCCAGCAATCGCTCTCGCAACATACATATGACTCTCGTTGGGTCGATAAGCAAATGTGACAAGTAAGGCAAGATAGTTTTACGAGACAATGAAGCGCGGGAAAACAAAACTGAGTTCTGAATGCATAGAAAAAATACAGTGCATTAGAAGGGTAGCAAAGGTTTGAATGAAATCGATCGCTCAAACCAATGGAGGAGAAATTGATGCAGGCATCAGGATGCCTAGAAATGATTAAATCAACTTGGGAATCTTTGGAAAAGCCGCTGCATCATAAAAAGTGCTCGGCTGATCGTACCATTAAAGTGCAGTCCATCTGGTCTAGTGAACATAGCAGGAGAAGTATACCCAATGAGGAATAACGAATAAATACTATGCTTCGGAGTGTCGATATCAGCGTCCGACTACGTGAAAAATTTAAAGGTGTGTAGACCAAAAGAGGTTTTGGGTCAAAAAGCTACCGATATATCTGACACTAAGTAGGATGGTCACTCACAGCCAGAGTGACGAAGATTTTTATGAGAGATCGTAACTTAGCGCCACAGAAAAAGGAAAACATTACATCAATACAATTGGGAGGGTTGAGAATAGGGGACCTGGATGAAGATCACGTAACGATACACTGCAACATAACATCGTTAGTATGTTTGCAAAGGTAAAAGTGGATTGTACGGGGAGGCGTTCGATAGTTAAGGTGAACAGAAAAGGTGGCAGGATTACTCCATACAGAAAACCGAATTTGCACAGAGAACATACCACTGATTACAAGTTAATATGGTAAAGTGAATACAATCGGTAAAATAGTCACTCAACAGACTATATACACGCAGGAGCACTCTGCACCCAGAAAGTATATTGAGCAACATTGAAGTAGCCATTCCTCAAAAGGTATTTGAATAAGCAAAATAGGAAGCCGTTTGTATTCAAATGTACTCCCGCATCCAATGTAGTGCTCTCAGGTCTAAACATGAACAGCTATTTATGGCAAACTGGTTTGGTGGTGAACATCAGCAGAATCTGCAGTAACTCGAAAATTTTCAGTAGCACAGTCTAGTTCAGTTGAGTAAACATGAATCGAGCACGGAAGTGCATTTGGGCCCAATTGCCACGACTCACAACGTAAGAATAACAGGAAAGAACAACGGCAAGGTAATGGGGTTGAATGCAAATAGAATGTAAAGAAAATAGGAGTAAAGAGGAAGTGCGTTAGACTAATCAGAATGGAATGAAAACTGACAACCAGATGAAAGAAGCAGAATGTAGAAAAGCCACGGACCATGCGAGTGCACAATGTGTGCTAGTCTCCAAGCACTCATGTGGACACCAAACGAAGACAGGACATCACAATCATTATCATCATGCTCATACTCATACTCAATTTCATCAACCGCAGTACATCAGCCATTTGAACTGATGCTTCGCTGCCATACAACCATGAGGACCTATGAAATAAAGAATAAGAAGAGGGAGAGAAGGGGGACTTACCTGAAAACCTTAATGCCCTAAGCAAACATTCAGGGTCAAGGCGCCTACACCTTGTGTAGACAACATTCCGTCACAAACAGCTGGCTATCGTGCAAAGATAAGGCGGCATCGGCGAGACAGCTTACTTGCGGCTTTCATTGTCACGCATCATAATCAGCCATTATCTCGCGGCTAGCTCAGCACAACACACAAGTTAAACAGGGAGTCCGACTAGGAGACGACAGCAGACACGCCACTGGTGTCGGTTGCGAGCCATGCCCTGTAAAGTCTCGAGCCAAACACAAGGCGAGTCACGTGGACTCCAGCCCAGAAGGCGAAACGGACCGACCGTACCGAGTTTTTTCGTCAGTGACTTCATTTCCCGCTGCCAAGTCAACTTCTGTCCACCTGGAGCCTTGCGCCACCCTACACCTAGCAGATTAAACAAGTCCCTCCTAGATAAGCGGTGACCAGGCATACGTAGCACATGTCCAAGCTAACACAACCGATTCAGGGAGATAGCATGACTATCACTACCTAGTACTCGCCCACTCACACCATCATTGCGTACACGCTGATGCCATCCGAGACCAGCAATAATTCGTAGAAAATGACGATCAAAGACAAAGGTGACTCATATCTTCAGATCAAAGGCGGCAAGTCCCATTACCATAGAGCAGAACAGCCCTCACTGTGGCCTTGTATACACGGCCTTTCAGACGGAGAGAAACTTCCTTCTGTCGCCAAGGATGCCGCAGGTTCAAGAAGGTAGCTCTGGCTTTTGCAATGCGTGAGCTGACGTCAGCTTCTATGCGCCCATCATTGCTGATGCAGATACAAGATAAGTGAAGGGAACAACCACCTCGAGCTCCTCGTTAGTAAGGGTCAAAGGGTCATTAAGTGACCGGTGGTACTGCAACACTTTGAACTTTGAAGGTGCAAAGTGCATACCAAATATTGGGACCACTCTAGACAGGCTATACAGGGTTGACTGGGCCGCCCCAAAATCGTCGAAAAAATGACGATCTCGTCCGTATAATCAAGATTAACTAATCTATCGACAGCACTTCAACGCCTACACCGTGAGCTTACGCAAGGGAACACCATGATAGAATTCATGACAAAAATAAAAAAACGGGGAAACCGGACAACCCTGACGAACAACACTTGTGATTTGAAAGCTATCCGATAGGCCAACCCAGACCCTGACGCTGAATGTAGGTTTCTAGTATAGTGCACATAGGAAGTTCACATATTTTGTGGAAACAACTTTCGGCGGAAGTATGTCGAACAGAAACGATCCATCGACTGAATCGAACGCACTGTTGAAATCGAGGAACACAGCTATTGTCGGTCTGCGGTATGCGTGGCGCTGCTCTAGCACCTGCCGCAAAGTGAATATATGGTCTATACAGCCATGCCCAGGGCGGAAACCTGCCTTCCCTTACCTAATCCGAGAGTTCCGTTCCACAGTGAGGCGATGAACGAAAATCGAGGCCAGCAATTTCGTCACAACTGGCGTTAGGCTAATAACCCTGTGGTTAGAACAGCCTGTGCGACTGCCCTTCTTGTAAATTGCAACTGTAATCGATTCGCTTCAGTTAGCCAGGACACCCTCGTCCTTACAGATAAGTGTGAATAAGGAGGTCAGTGCTTTGCAGAGGACCTCACCTACATCCTTAAATAGTGCAGGTCAGAGGGAATCTGGGTCAGCGACACGAAAACGATTGAGGTCTGTGATCGCGTTTCGGAACTGGGCCTCCGACGGAGGCTGGCTTGCCGAACAACCTCCTCGTGGTGCCAGCTGGGTGGTTCTAGTTTTTCCCCTTCCAGCAAATGTTTCGGCGGCAGTGTTCCAGGTCGTGGTGGGTTTTCGCCTGGCAAGCGTTCTGCCTATAAAAAGCCCCAAATGTCTGTTTAACAACACTGCGACGTGACGGATATGACTCGCCATGAGATTAAGTCACTTCCCCTTGCCCCACTCTGAGAGGCATTGTACTTTAAGGGTGCGTTGGGCCCCTGGTCCTTCACGGACCGAAAGGCGTACGAACCATCTACTTGGTCACCGGCTCCCAACGAGTTGCGAAGCCCTCACATCGCTCTGCTGCCTTGTAGGTTAGATCTTTGATCAAAGGATCGGGGTAGGGCCCACTAAGACAACCCTCTACTTCGGCCTGGGCAACCGGGTAGTATCACGCCCACGGACGAATCATGGACCACACTGCTGACTACTGCTCCTGTTATGCCTATCTTCTATGCCAACTCAAGTGCTCAACCTCCACTCATAGATCACCCCACCTCCCGTCCTTCACCTATATCTACTCTTACGTCTTCTTCGGTCACCGTCACAAATGATGGAAGTACCAGCCAAACTCCCGGTTTGCAATGTCCTGCGATCGCAACCGCCTCTCACTCCACCGAAGCTCCAGCTCTTCTTTGACCTTGTTCTCCACTCATCCTCGCAGCGTTTAATGTTCGAACTTTGATGCAGATCGGAAGACAAGCATGTCTGGCCCGTACTCTTAGAACGCTTTCGCTAGACATCTGTTGCCTTTCAGAGACCAGATTACAAGACTCTATCGCCGTCATCAGAATGACATCTCCGGTAAACTCTGACGCCAAATATCGCTTGTGGTTTTCTGGAGACCCAGAAGCTGCCGCCTCTGGCCAAGCTGGTGTTGCGGTTGTACTAAGTGCTAGGGCTGAATCAACTCTGCTTGACTGGATCCCAGTCAACAGTCGGCTATGTGCAGTCAGACTACGAGGTTCATGTAATGTAAGCAGGCGTCGAGACGTTAAGCGTGCCTTGTTTGTCACCTCTGTCTACGCACCTACGGAATGAAGCCGAGATGCAGTCAAGGATAGCTTTTACCAGCAACTACATGAAGTTCTGTGCTCCTCCAAAAGGACTGATATAGTCATCGTTGCCGGGGGCCTTAACGCACGGGTTGGTGGCCTCCTACCAACCGAGCACCATCTTGGGGGTAGTTTTGGTCTCGGTGGCAGTTGATCAGATAATGGAGACAGACTGTTTGCACTTTGCTCTGATCATCGCTTGTATCTTTCGAGCACTAGTTTTCGGCACTCGAGGAGACACACTGCTATCTGGCACCCGCCCTCACAAACGCAAAAGTGTTCCCAGCTTGACCACATATCAATCAGCCACAGATGGCGCGGAAG